TATTTTCCTCATTCTCTTTAAAAAGCTTCATGGTGTTTAAAGGAGAATACGCTCTTCCACTGTATTTTTTCCTGATAATCTAGTTTATTGTTACAGATAATTTTATTTTTTATTTTATTCATTAAATTCTTCAGTTTTAGGATTTCTGTTTGGTTCTTTCTTATGATATCTATCTCTTTATGGAATTTCTCATTCATATCATGGGTTATTTTTCTCCTTCCTTTGTATTGTTTATTTGTGCTCTTTTTTCTGAGTTTTCTTAAGATTATCATTTTGAACAGGAATTTCATAGATCTCCCTTTTCTAGAAGACTGTTACTGGAGTGTTATTGTGTTCCTTTGAATGTGTCATGTTTTCTTAGTTTTTCTTAAATTTTACTTTAACTTATGGGATACACGCACAGGTATGTTACATAACTATACATGTGCCAGGTGGTTTGCTGCACCTATCAACCCATCATCTAAGTTTTAAGCTTTGCATACATTAGGTATTTGTCCTAATTCTCTCCCTTCCCTTGCTCCTAACCCCCTGACAAGCCCTGGTGTGTGATGCTCCCCCCGAGTCTATGTGTTCTCAATGTTCAACTCCCACTTATGAGAGAGAACATGCAGTGTTTGGTTTTCTGTTCCTGTGTTAATTTGCTGAGAATGATGGTTTCCAGCTTCATCGAAGTCCCTGCAAAGTATTAACTGCTACTATTTATAGGTGGAAAGAGTCAAATATGGTTTTTAGTGATGTATAAATCTTTGTATGTAACTGTTCACACTCACTGTCCGTTTCTCCAAATGATGTGTGTATGTGTGTGTGTGTGTGTGTTTTGGGTATGTGTACCCCTTAGCCTATAACTTCTTTTCAAATATTTTTCTGAGTTTGTTTCACAGTTAATGTTATGTTTTCTGTCCATGTGAATGGCCATGTGTGAGTTCATATATGTTTAGATTCTTGAATTTTTAGGCGGTTATGTATGTTTATATTATCTTGTCTTGTTTCTGGCTTTGAATTCTCATTCAAGAATCAATTCAATAGTCACTAATATTTTCCTCAACTTTAAAATAGATTTTTTTGTGTGTTTGTATTTTTTTTTTTTTTTTTGAGACAGAGTCTCACTCTGCCACCCAGGCTGGAATGCAGTGGTGCGACCTCAGCTCACTGCAACCTCTGCCTCCGGGGTTCAAGGATCCTCATGGCTCAGCATCCCTAGTAGCTAGAACTACAAACATGCACCACCACACCTGGTTAATTTTTGTATTTTTAGTAGAGATGGGGTTTTGCCATGTTGGCTAGGCTGGTTTCAAACTCCTGACCTCAAGTGATTTGCTCTCCTCAACCTCCCAAAGTGCTGGGATTACGGGTGTGAGGCACAGTGCCCAGTCAAAAAGATTGTTTTATATTATAAATTTAAATTTAATTCCTCAAAAATCCACTTCAACGTATGATGTGAAGTAAGATTGTAACTTAATTTTTGCTATTGTTTTAGAGTGGATTGTGTCTAGGATAACTGGGCTAGACTTCAGCTGATTTAGGCATCCAGAGTATGCATAGTCTGTTGAACTTTTTTGTTTTGTTAAACATTCCAGTTAGGTAGAATGTATTATGACATTTAGGAATCAGATCCTTTGAAACATGTTTATATATTATTTATGGTATATTTACACTTGAAAATATCAAAATCTCATAAAATCACCATCAAAAAACTTACTTAACCAAAATCACCTGTACCCTAATAACCTATGGAAAAAAAGAAAATTTCAATTAAATAGTTGTAATTTTTCTTCATGTTTACTTTGTGTCAATTTCCATGAACTTCAATATAGCCATTTCCTTTCTCTGTTCTAGAAATAGGTGACCATTTCCTGTCTGCTGTTGGGTTAAGGAAACTTATTAGCACCAGGTTCTGCATATTCTGACTCAATGAAATAATCTGCTATTTCTTGTGATTTTTTTTTTCAAACTTCACAGTAGCTAAATGTTTTCTGTTAAAAAAAAGTTGGGATTTTTTTTTTTTGCCCTTAAATTATAAGTGCTGCAAAAAAATGTATTCAAATTGAAAAGCAGAAATAAAATGCTGCATTATAAGTACTTTTTTATTTACTGTATGCCAATTAAAGGATGTTTCTATTTTAGGAGATATGTTATTATAATATAGTCCTGTGACCTTGTGTGCACAGTGCCCTGCTTAGCCTAGCATAATGCTGCTTCTGTTAACATTGCCTAAGCTATTACCCATAATCCCAAGTGGTAGTGGAGGTGGCTGTGGGCAGGTATGAGTGGTGGAGAGGCTGAAACTCTGGAGGAGGAGGCACCTGCTCTCTCAGCAGCTCTGCATCTATCAAGGGCACTTGGTCTTCAACTGAACATTAGGCTTGCTGAGGCTTAAATCATCTTTCCAAGATTCTGAAGGACACTATTCATCAACTGTATTTAAAAACAATAGATTTCTGAATACATATTTTAAGCATTTTTCAATGATGTAAGTAAAGCTGATTTATGTTATTACTATTCTTCTTATATAGTTGTAGAAATGGAAATATGTGGAACTAATTTTTCCTCTAGTAATTCAATATCCAGACTTTATTAACTACTCAATTAAATCTCATATTTTACTATTTAATTTTCATAGTTTAATTACCATTGTTATTCTTGAAAAAATAGTATGTAAATATTGAAAAATGTATGGTGATTTGGAAAACTATCAAACCACACAATTTAATATATTTGAAATTTAAAAATAAACATAATGATATTTTTTGACAAATTCTTATAAAAAGTTTTCACTCTCAGTTTGTCTTCCCTGAAAGCTTTATCTATTTGAAATAATAACTTGAAAAAGAGTGGAACTGATTTTCAAAGTGCTTTCTAAGTCTTAATGCCTACACCTTTACATTGAATTCTATACCGCTGTTATTACATTGGTACCTCTTTATTTCTGAATTAGACTTATTAATGTGATAAATTTTCAAAATATTACATATTAGATATTAGTGCTTATGATATTGAGGTCAAAAGAAAGCTTCATTTTGAAATCTATTAAAATGTGTACTAATGTAAAATTTTCTGTTTAAGCAACTCACAAGGAAAAAATTGAGAAAAAAGAAAAACCAGAAACAAAGACAGTGGCAAAAGGTAACTTTTCAATTTATTATTTCCATAACTGAATATTTTGAAAGATTAATTTTTGGGTAATGGATAGTTGTAAATTTGTAAACTTTTATTATTTTATTTACATTAAAAAGTTAATTTGGTCTTACATTAAAATTTAATATCTAAAAGAACAATTAAACTGAATACTTATAATAATAGAGAATCTCAAAATGTGAGAGGAAAATGAAGAGCTTCACCATATGTGGTAGATAGTATTTTGAGCCCCATAACGCTCATTCACCCCTTGGTGTCATCCCTGTGGTTATGTTACATTACATGGCAAAAATTATTTTTGCAGAAGTAGTGAAGATTGATCTAAAATAGGGAGGTTCTCCTGGATTTTCCAGGTGGGCTCAATGTAATACCATGAGTCTTTAAAAGCAGAGAGATTCCTTGCCTCGAACATTTACTATTTCTTTGCGTTGGGAGCATTCCAAATTCACTCTCTAGATATTTTAAAATATATAATAAATTATTGTTAACTATACTCATTTTATTTTGTTACTGAGCACCAAGAACATATATTGAGGAAAGGACAGTCATTTCAATAAATTGTAATAGGAAAACTGGATATGCAAAAGAATGAAAGTAGACCTCTATCTTTCACCATATAAAAAATTAATTCAAAATGAATTAAAGACTTAAATGTAGGTCATGAAACTACTTGAAAAAAACATTGGGGAAATGCTTCAGAACATTGGTATGTGCAAAGATTTCTTGAGTAAGACCTCAAAAGCACAGACAATCAAAGCAAAAATAGTCAAATGGACAACTTCTGCATAGTAAATGATTTTCTTGTATCAAAAAGAAAGGGTTGGCTGGGCATGGTGGCTCACACTTGTAATCCCAGCACTTTGTGAGGCTGAGGCAGGTGAATCACTTGAGGTCTGGAGTTCAAAACCAGCCTGGCCAACATAGTGAAACGCTGTCACTTCTAAAAATTCAAAAATTAGCCAGGTGTGGTTACACACATTTGTAATCCCAGCTACTTGGGAGGCTGAGGCAGGAGAATCCCTTGAACCCTGGAGGTGGAAGTTGCTGTGAGCCAAGATCTTGCCCCTGGACTGTAGCCTTGGCAACAGAGATAGACTCTGTCTAAAAAAAATAAAAAGGTCATGCATAAATCTTCGTCAATATTTTCAAAGTTTGAGAACTGAGAGTACCTTAATAATACCCCAAATATATTTATTAGTATATCACTTTAATATTATATATTTTGGCATATTGAATAACAAAGTTTTTCTGAATTACATTTAGATAAATTTAATTTCTCCATTACTAGAAAAAAATGGATTCTAATCAGTAATTTAATCTTATTCCTTATATTTAAATTGTTCATGTTTTAAAATATAGGTCTTATGTAGCCAGAAGCCTCAATTCAGTATTTTTAAGAAACTACCCACTTATGTAAAAATTAGAAGTTACTTTTAAGATTTAGTTTGATTATCTACTAAACATTAGATAACTAAACATTTTATAAAGCGAATATAAACTACAAATTGAAACATTTTTAGAAGGTAACAGGAATTAACTTTCAAGATTAAATTAAAATAAATAAACGTAATTTTATTTTGTTTCTCCTGTTTCATAAATGCAAATGAAAATAAATTTGATATATCTATTTAATTTATTTCATTACATATATATGAAATCATATTTGATAGCTGTATGAAACCTAGTAGACATTTTTAAGATCATATAAATTAATTACCTAGTTTAACATATGAAGAAAGTGAACTCTAGAGAGAGAGAAAAAAATTTTTGCCAGGTCATAAAACTAGTATGTGATTGGGTTAAGACAAAAATCCAGGTGAAGTGAGTATAAATTGAGTTTTCTTTAAAAAATAATTAAATGCAGGTCTTCAAGCATCACTTTGTTTTTCAAAAAATTTGCTAAATACTGTATTAGTATTTATTGCTTTGTAAAGCATTACCATGAAATTTGAGGCTTAAATCAATGCACATTTATTATCACACAGTTTCTGTGGATCAAGAATCTGGGCATGGCTTAGCTTAGGCCTCTGTTTCACAATCTCACAAGGTGGAGCAGACTGTTAATTAGGATTTCAGTCTCATCTGAGGGTTCAACTGAGGAAGGATCATTTTCAAGTTCACTATATGGTTGTTGGTGAGATTCACTTCCTCAAGGACTCTTAGCCAATCAGTTCTTAGCTGGCTGTTGGCCGGGGAACATCTTCAGTTCCTTGATACATGAGTCTCATGAACATGACAGCTGGCTTCATTAAACCTAATGTGAGAGAAACAGTCAGGATGACTGAAATTACAAACTTATCTAAACTAATCATTGAAGTCACATTCAATCACCTTTGCCATACACTGTGGGTTAGCAGCAAATTCCTAGGCCAACCCATATTGAAGGGAAGATGATTGCACAAGGATATGAATGCCACAAGTTGGAAATCACTGGGGGCCATCTTGAGTCAGCTTGCCATAAAGACTTTCCATTTACATATTTACATCATTATTCTAGGGGAGATACACACACACATAGACATTCACACACAAGCATACATATATGTATGCATATGTATATATATCTGTTTATAATATGTATATGTATATGTGTGTATACATGCTTGTATACAATATATATTTTTAATTTTATTTTATATGTGTATGTATTATGTTAGTTATAAGAAATTAATAGGAAGTGTTCTTTATATAATAGGTGATTTCTGGTAAAACAAAATAAGATAAAAAAGGCATAAGCCTTCTATGTGACATTAAAGATAGAAAAAATTATGAAGTACCTTTGAAAGGTGTGACCTGTTAAAGTAGAACAGCCCTTTGAAGAGCTGTGATTTCCAGAGGCACTTACATACAGTGCAGCATGTTTCTTGCTCTGTTGCAAGTACTGCTTGCTGAAAGGCAGCCATTGGTTAGAACATTTCAGGGATTCCTCCTGGGGAAGAGTAGACCTTTAATGTCTACCTTAATACAGGTATAGGACCCCATAGTCATTGAGAAAGCTAACCTATTTATGTAGTTCATTAAAAGTAGCAGACACAGGGAAGAAGAAGAAGACAATAATTAATAGAGAAGTTGAGTGCGGTGAGCCAAATTTGGGTCAGGCTAATTGATGTCGAAGTCAGTGTAACCTTCAGACCTTCAGATGTCTGTTTGATGAAATGGGAGAGGTTATTGCTGCCTTGGCCACTTTGAGGAAGACATCACTTTTACTTGGTTTGTGTATGTGTATATCTGCCCTTATATGTCTTGCAAAACTTTTTTTTTATATCATCTTTTTAGCTTAATATTAATAACCACGCAACTTACTGTGATTAGAAATTGGGTTAGGCATTCTGATTCTACTCTTTCTACTCCTGACTCATTTAGTTGCACCATTTTTGATAAATGGCTTTTTGACGCTTAGATTTTTCATACGTAAAATAATAATGATAGATGTAATCCCTGCTGTTCATTAAACTCTGGGTAAGCTCTAGGGAAACTCCAAGAGCTCTAGACATGTAGATTATGCAGATTTAATATTAACAATGTTTACCTACTTATTTTGCAGAATTCAAAGTTCTTTTGCTCAGTATTACTTATCTCCACAGCTTCCATAGAGGAAGAAGCAGATACAGTGGTGATTCTTTTTTTAAGGCAAAGAAACTGAAGCAGAGAGAAATAAAGCAGTTTGTAGTTCTTCATGAAATGAAAGATAAAATTCGTTATTTTCTAACTCCAAAAATGTATAGTATGTTCGTATTTTTACTGAGGGATACTGTTCTATTTAATACTTTGGCATCAGACATTCTGGATCTGATTCAGTAGCTTAATGGATCATGTTAATGCCGAGATTGAATCAAGTATGCTGATGTCATTTTCTGATTAGAATATTTTGTTTTCCATTTGACAAAATTCACGAATAAAATGCCTTCTTAAATAAAACGGGGTGGTTTGAATACAACATGGCAATCCTTTTTGTTTTTTAATTCCTTAATAAAGTCCATCACTTAGATTGTCTCAGTGAAAAATCAGGAAAAACATTTTGGCACAAAATTGAAGAATATCTACTCAACTTAAAAGTAAATTGAAGTTGGACGTTGCTTTGGTTTCATGACATTTTCTTTATTATAGTCATATCATTTAGTTCTCGCCATTTTTTTTTCCCAGTATGAGGCAAAGGTATCTATTTCAAGGGTGAAGGTAATTGAGAAGTGTCTAAAATAGGCAGAAAATATTTTGTTATTTTTATACTTAAAGTCAATTATAATGAGTTTGCTATATATGTTGTTCTGCCTCTTAGAAAATAATCATTGCCCACTGATAAATTATAATGGCATTAAAAATAGATCTGAATTTCACACAACTTTAATTCCATAGTATTAAGGTTAAATCAACTGTAACTTGCAAGGAGTGGATAGCTGTCATTTAGAGTAAGCAAATATAACAATTTCACACAAATTAGTATCAACAACAAAAAAAAGTTGGCAAAATTAACAGGTTTAGGCAAGTTTATTTCTAAACACATATTTACATATGCAGTCTCTATATCACTATATAATACACATGATACGAGTACAGTGGAACATTTACTCTCTCCTTCATCAAAGCTGCTAATCCAGTATTTATTTACCTTGTGTTTTCTCTGAAAAAAGCATTGTGCTAGACCCTATGGTGATACAAAAATGAATAATAGAATTCCTACCCACAAGCACTCTCTGTCTGGTAGGGAAGACAGATCAACAACTATCTGCAATACAAGATATATAATAGATAATAAAATGTATACTTTAATAAAAATTCAGACAAATGGAAGTTTTGGGGAAGACATTATTAATTCAAATGGGAAAGCCTTTTTTTTTTTTTTTTCATGTGATTGACCATGAAGAAATTTAATACCAGCACTTTGGGAGGTTGAGGCAGGTAGTTCAAGGTAGTTGAGGTCAGGAGTTCAAGACCAGCTTGGCCAACATGGTGAAACCCCATCTCTACTAAAAATACAAAAAATTAGCCAGGCATGGTGGCATGTGACTGTAATTCCAGCTACTCAGGAGGCTGAGGCAGGAAAATTGCTGGAACCTGGGAGGCGGAGGTTGGAGTGAGCTGAGATTGCACTTCAGCCTGGGCAACAGAGCAAGACTCGGTCTCAAAGAAAAAAGAGAAAAAAATTTAAATATGTGTAAAATATAAAAAATGTAGAGAATGCAGTCTGACAATATTTGAAAAAATGGAAAATACAGAAAATATTCAAGTGAAAGAAAGCAGTCCAGTAGAGGCAGGAACTTTTGGAAAGATGCCATAAGATGGCAGCTAGGAGGAAGCCAGATATTGCAGGGTTTTAATTTTGCTATCCTGAAATTTATCCAGATATTTTTATTATTATGCTGATTTTTTAGAGCTCCAGCAACTATCTGTGAGCCCAGGTCAACGTAAACTATCTAGAAATGTTTTTGGGGTGAACACATAATGAATTGTATGAGATTGAGGTGCTATTGACTATTGCAGTGAAACTTTTGAAACTTTCTCCCCAGACAGACACTAATAAACATTTCAGCGTGGAATTCTGGAATGATGTCAATTTAAAGTCATCCGAAGAAAGCTGCTGGTTCCAGTCATAGAAATGTATGAGTTTACTGTAGGAAAGAACAGAAACCGGCAAAGGAGATTTAGAAATGATTTATAGGAAGAAGAAAATCCCTGAGTGTAGTCACAGAAGCCACAAAGATGTTGAAAACTTATGGATATGTGAAACCCTGTCTCTACTAAAAATACAAAAGTAACCAGGCATGGTGCTGGGTGCCTATAATCCTGGTTACTTGGGAGACTGAGGCAGGAGAATCACCTGAAACTGGGAGGCGGAGGTTGCAGTGAGCTGAGATTGTGCCACTGCACTCCAGCCTGGATGACAAAGCAAAACTCCATCTCAGAAAAAAAAAAAAAAGAGAGAGAGAGTTTATGGAGTAATTCGGTAATATTTGTATGAGAATTTTATGATTAAACAACATTGGATAATATGTGTATCATAATTCTCTTTCTTGAAAATTCTCAATATACTTTAGCCTTGAGAAAGTTCAAGCTAAAGGACCAGGTTAGCTTATTGTATCCAAATGAATTTGGTCATGAGGACATCAACATCTTCCAGTAAAGTATCTGAAGTATATGAGGAACAGTGTTTTGGAAAGTGCTGGCGTAGTCAATTAAGTGTGGTACCACAGATGAGTTTTGTTTTGCAATCTAACCAGCATCTGGCATGATCGTTTTCATTCTCTCAGTGGGACCTTCTTGGCTTAGCCTGAAATCATCCTTTGGGTACCAAGGTCCATAAACCATTTTTTCATAAAATTCTTTAACATGAGTGACAATAAAGCCCACATAGTACATTAGCAAATGACGTAGAGGATTCCAACATTGCAGTAGAGTTGCTGTGGTGTATAGTGGTTATCTGTAGTCACAAACAATAAGTAATGTCCAATATGAAGCATCTTTTATGAACAATTTTCCACAAATAATTTGCTACATTGTTACTGCTTTCTAAAAGATGCTTGAATGATCCACAACCTAATTCATTTGCATCCCAGTTCTCTCTTCCAAAATACAGATAATATCAAATTAAGAATATGTGTATGTAAAAAAAAAAACATATATTCTAATTTATATATGTATTTTTATATATTTTTATTTATCCCCCTTTCAATTTCCAAACACATGTTTAAGGGCTTTAAAAACTAGTAGAATTATCGCTGACTTAAGATAAACAGGAGCCAATATCTCAATTTCTGCACTTTCAGTCTTTCCAAGGCCAAATAATTAGAGACTATATCTTTCTTAGCTTTCCTCTAATAGATTTCATTGGTTTATTTCTAGTAGTCAACACCAATGCAGATAATTTTACATTTGAATTCCTAATTGTTGCCTTTAATGGTATTTTGTTGGCATTTCAGTTTCTTGAATGACCCTTAAGATTTTTCAGTTATGGAGCAAAATGATTGCATACTTACAAAAGGAGAGGACTTCACTGGGCTCTTTGATATGGACATTGTCTTTCACTGAACAGACCTGTGTATCCATCCCCTGCATATTACAAATACCCCCTTGTTGACATGCTAAGTTCCTATCAGCTTAAAAAATAGTGTTTTCATGTACAATTAAAAGCCACAACACTTTAGTCATCTATTTAATACAGCACTTCATAAACTGTATAAAACCCTGATAATAGTCACAAGTGTTTAAGAACTGTATTTTCTATTGTTTTCCTTTCCTCCCTCTTTCTTTTCCAATTTTTCTTAATGACCTAGTACAGATAAAACATTATGTTTGTAAATAAAAAAAAAATATTTCAACATCTCTTAACTTCATACAGAAGAGAAGAAAACTAAGACTGCAGAAAAGAGTGAAGAAAAGACTAAAAAGGAAATGAAAGGTGGAAAACAGGAGAAAGTGAAGCAAACAGCTGCAAAAGGAAAAGAAGTACAGAAAACACCATCAAAACTCAAAGAAAAGGAGGACAAAGAGAAAGCAACGGTGTCAAAGCATGAACAGAAAGGTAAACACTCAGAGCAGGAGGCTGCCGGAGGTTCTAAAAGAATATTGGGCAAGAAGCACATGCGGTGAAATTAAAAGCTGAAAAAGACCAAAATCAGACTTCAAACGGGGGTAAAAGATATTAAAGTAAATATATCAGAAAGGAAATACAGTAAATAGGGAATTAATATTTATTTATAAAAATACTAAGATATGTTCACATATCTAAAGGGGCATTTTGAAGTATTTTTAAAAGGGGTTTGGAGTTAGCATCTGGAATCACATAAAGATTAAAGATAAATGTTGAATTTTTGAGACATGAAATTTCTATTAAGAGTTGAAATAAAGACTGCATGTATCACACTCTTTGGAGAAAAGTGGTCTCCCAAAATGACAGCAATCCCTAAGGAATTTATTCAGGAGTACATGTTCGCATCATATAAATACTGTGAAAACTATCCATACATTACTGTTGCATTGACAAGAACACATCATTTAAAATATAAATCAAATTATCAAATTCATTTAATAGGCAAGATGTTACAGAGAAGACAGCTCTCAAGATTCTTTTTCAGTTTCCATTGACTAAATTTCTAATGTTAGAGAACTCTGAATGTGACATATTGTGCCACTCTTCAGCAAGAGTGGTGTCAAACTTATATCCCCACTTTGCAAAAATATAGCACTTAAATGGAGATGGACTATAAACCTGAATTTTTTATGGAAGGGTGCTATGTGAATGTACAGAGCTGAGGTTTTAGGAGGGCAACTGAGGGTCTTATTGCATCACATCTCTGGCACTTGTTGACTCTTTCCTTTCCTAAGTCCATTCCTGACTTCAGGTTGCAATATAATCCTGGGACACCTTCACAGAATATAGGGTCTAATATACAGGGACTATTCCTATAATTGATGTTTCTTGGAGCCATTGCAAAACCAAAATTTTCTTTCCTTGTAGCAGTTTTAACTAATGTTACCTAAGGACTATATCGAAGAATTGGCTTCTATTAGATTTTAATTTAAGAAATCTTACAATTTTGTCACAGAGCAAGCTATTTGGAGAACAAAACTGAAGGTAATTTTTCCTCATTATGAGGTACAAGAGATGAAATTTGCAAGCCATTTGTATTTTATCCACTCTGTATTTTTATTTTTTCTCTTGAATTTGTATTTGTAAACTTTGATTCATGAGTATTATTTGTCAACTCTGATTTATATGACAAAAGATACATTTTTTAAAAATACATATTTTTAAAAGGAAATAAATATTTTTTTCTTTATTTAGTGATCCACAAACTTTTTAATTTAGATAATATTAATGTATTTAATATTTTAATATATAAGTGACATTAAAACTTAGGAGCTCTAAAACTTTTTCCAATTTTCAAGGTGATTATATCACCATAAAAAATTTAAAAGTTAATTATTACTTCTATCAAAATTATGTCATTAATAAAATATTTTGGTAGACAAAAGGGATGAAGTAAAGAAAGATAAAATATGTTGAATATAATAATAAAAACCAGCAGAATTAATCTTTGGATTCACTGATATGATTACTTAGATCCTAAAATCCTTTACACTTTAGATTGCTGTTCAAAAAGAAAAATAATCACACAAAACCAGTTAAAACCTACCAACTATATTCTAATTCTTAACCATAAATACAGAATGTAAAAATTGATGCCAGTTGTATTTGGAAATGTTAAAATACTTATCTAGCAACTAGGAACATTAATGTATTTTTTGATGTTCGTTTTTCGTATCTTTGGGGATTTGGGAGCCATATTTTATCGATAAAGACTCATCACCAGAACACTTTAAAATAATGTTCATTTTCCAGGTCACAAATATGTATTTCATTTCTATCAGTAATCAGATTTATTAAAGACAGCTTTGTATTACCATATCCATTTTCGGTCTACTATTTTTATTTCTATGCAAAGAGCTATTTATCTATTAAAACGACATTCAGATATCATTTAGAGTTAAAAACAAAAGCACAAATGTGATTTTATCAGTTAAACAATTATAATTGCTAAAGCATGTCTCAGTGTTGAGAACAGTTGCCATTAATTATATAAATGTATCATTAGGAGAGTAATCAAAAGTAACCTCTATGGCAGATCAGACATATAAATATGTCATTTTATTTTTTTACTAAGCAAAGTTTTAATTAAGAGCATTTTTTAAATTAAAGAAAATGAATTACATTATGGTTTTAACTAAGCAAGATAAAGATACAGTGTCTTTTTTTCTTTTTAATTTGGGAAGCTTTAGTTTTAAAATTTTTGTATTGATTACTTAGTGTAATTTTTGAGTTAGCTCTTTGGCCAAGAGAATACTTATTCACATAGCTTAAGTTAGACCTAATATGTTTGAGGCATTCTTTTAACGTAGATTTTTACATATTTCTTTTTAAAGAAATAGGGCTCATTCTTTTTAAAGAAGTAGGTCCTTTACTCACTTGGAAACAGATTTTTACATGGGGCACATACTTACTAGTAATTAATTACATAGTATACAGGTGTATATATTCAGTTTAGTTACTCTCAATATTGTATATGGAAATAATACATCTCTCTTCCTGCTTAAAGCATTAGAGATAGGATATATATGTATATATATGTATATATACACACCTACCATAAACACACACAACACACACACACACACACACACACACACACACAAATCTAGTTTTTATAAACCCATCTAAATCTGTTTTCAGAGTAGGAAGAGTTGGCATAATCAGATGTTGCTCCCTAGTTTTCTGATGACCTCTGGGAAGTCTGAGGAGAAGGTAAAACAAATTTTCCAGCTGCCACACACTTTGCTGGTTCACTCATTCTTTATTTATTTTTTGAACAACTATTTAAATATTTGTGGCAGGCAGAGAAAGTATAGCTAATGTGAATCTGTTACAGAGCCCTGGACCACATGTGTCCCATCCTCATTAGAAGTTTCCTTAAAAAACTGTTATTTTGTTGACATTCTGAGCTCAGAATGTAGTTTTCCTTTGTTACCACTCCACAGGGAACACCAGCTAGGCATCATTTGAATGACATCCATCACTGCCCCTGAGGATAAAGAAGGAGAGAAATGTACAGCATGTGTTATTCCAAGAAGAATGTTCATTTGGGGAAAAAAGTACTTAAATGAGCAAATTTAACGTTATATAAATTATGATCTCAGAACTATGAAAGTTAGAATGGCAGGACAATTTAGATTTTCTTTATGAAAAGTTTTCTGCTGTAATTTTTAAAGTTAGGTTTAAAGAAACATTTTTATAAAACAAATCTTCCAAAATCAGGAAGGCTTGGTTTTTCTGTATTCTTAGATAGGTTAAGCAGATAAATTGGAAACTTCCCAACCCATACCTACCTAGAATTCTTATACATTGTTAAGGTCAATGCCAAGGACAGGTGGAAATGGGCATCCTAATTTAAAATATTTGAGAATCCCTATCAGCTTTGACAGGAATGAAAACATCTTTCTCATATTCCTATGATATATTGATGCCATTAGAATACAACAAGATCACAGCACTATTTACATATAACAAAAACCTTCTAGGTGTTGTAGCAAATAATTTTCTAGATTAAAAAATATCCTGTGAATTCATAAGAAATTTCCTATTTATGATTAGAAACTCACTGGGCTATTGGTTTATTAATTAAATGAATGATTTTTGGATCTAGGAAACATAAGAAATATAAGTAAAGTACAGTTGTCCCACATATACTGTGGGGGATAGGTTTCAGGATTCCCTGCAGATACCAAAATCCATAGATCTTCAAGTATTTTCTATAAAGTGGACTAATATGTGCATATAACCTATGCACATCCTCTTTTATACATTAAATCATCTCTAGATTACTTATATACCTAATGCAATGTATTTAATAAATGCTCTGTAAATACTTATACTGTATTGTTTAGGAAATAATGATAAGGGAAAAAAAGTCTGTATATGTTCAGTACAGCACAACCATGGTAGCCATAATTATTAATATGTGTATGTGTGTGTGTGTATATATATATATATATATATATATATATATATATATATTTAAGACGAAGTCTCACTCTGTCATCCAGGCTGTAGTGTAGTGGCACAATCTCAACTCACTGCAACCTCCGCCTCCCGGACTCAAGCCTCAGACTATAGGCGCCCACCACCATGCCCAACTAAGTTTTGTATTTTTAGTAGAGATGGGGTTTCACTATGTTGGCTAGGCTGGTCTCGAATTCCTGACCTCAAGTGATCCTCCCGCCTCAGCCTTCCAAAGTGATGGGATTATAGGCCTGTGGTTTGTTGAATACTCAGATGTGGAACCCAGGGAAATGGAGGGCTGACTGTACTTTGATAATATTTCAACATAAAAGCTAAAAAGTTTCATTACACTATCAGGATTCAGCTAAAGAAGAACCTCTGAAGTGTGAAGATTTTAATTAATTCAGTGCACTGTTTAACATTTTATGTTTTTAGCCATCCCATCACAATTTTGGGCAAGTAATAGTTCATTTGGAGGGGATGTTATATTATAAATAGACCCTGCATTCTAAATTTCAACATACATAACAAAGACCCTTATTTGCTATCATGGGAGTCCGTAGAGCCTCTAGGAGTAATTATTGTGGGAAAACAAATGAAAGGTTTTAGATCAGTAATTAATGCATTCTAATTAGACTCATCTAAGGAGTTTGTATAAAATGCATATTCCTAGAGTCCAGATCCATGAGATTTAATATTTTTTGGTGATGGAGCCCAAAAATCAGTATTTTGACAATTCCCCTCTCTCACGTTTGAGTTACCCTGTGAGAACTACTCCTAGAGTATAGGGAGAACAAATCTAAAAAGAGTACAGTCACTTAAAGTACTGAAATAAAGGAAACATACTGCTAGTTTCAGAAAGTCCACACTGGTCCAAATTCAAACTTTCCATTTAAGGGAAATGTACTTTTTCATCTTGCTTTGTCTTAGAACCAAATTGCCAGTTCTACAGTCTTGCTCAGGAAAACAGTCTTGTGTCTAGGAAAGAGAAAATACCCTCTACCTTAACCTAATGTCTCTCCCAATCGTAGGGTTCCCAGGTCCTGGGATCAGAAACTCCAGCTATTACTGTCAGTACATCAAAGGGCAAATTGATGCATGGACTGATGTGAGGACTAGCCTCCTTCCCATTCCCTATGTCTCCTGTGGGAAAATGTGCTACAATTTCAACAACTAAAAGACATGTAAATTTTTGGAACTTTATGAGTTTTGGCCTACCCAGACTTAGGTATTAATGAAAAAGATTATATTTTTATATGACAGTATTTCATAATAAAATGGATTACTCTAAAAATGCTGTTAATACTCAAAAAAGAAAGGTTTACAAAAATCCTTAGAGGTATGTTTGTTTAGTAACAAGCTCTGTTATTTCATATGTTTGGCATGCATAATTTGGAGCAATTAAGAATATATCATATTGCTTAAGTCCAATAAACTGTCTTGGTCCTAAAAGCTGCCTTTGGATTTGGTGGATTCATAAAATGCCTATTTAAGGAATATTGAAATGTGAATCATTTAGTAATATGTATGCTTTAAAGAAGATATGGTAAAGATTCATCAATTGAGCTTTGAGTTGGATTGATCTCAGGAGAGTCTAAAGTTCTGAGAGGATTTAACATTAAGTGCAATATCTTTAATTTAGAGGGAATATAAAAAACCCAACTCCTGAAGACCAAGTCTGCCCAAAATGATGTTCACATACTATGTTTTTTGTTTGTTTGTTTACTTTTACTATAGGCCATAAACTAGTCAAGGTCATAAGATGATCATAAGAAGATTGTTTCATTGATTAATTTAACAACAATATCATTTGGTTCTGTTAGTCTGTTCTTGATTTACTCTCCCAATTAAAGAGCATTTTTATTCAGAGGCCACCTAACAGGTTGCAAAGAGGTTAGCCCTCCTGCTGGTCTTCTGCAAAATACATTCTGCAGCTGCATAGAGACAATTAGCAGAAGGGCTGGGACTGAGTTTTTGATGAAACACTTCAAGTTGGAAAAAATGTCCCCTCTTGTAAAACTTCTGTTTCATTATTGAAAGTTTATAAAAAGACAAATGGAAAAAATTGCTTTAATATGATGACTTGTAATCAATTATTTGATAAAATAGGTTTTTATTTGGAACACAACCCCATTATAAGATTAACCTGAACTAGTCTTTTTCAATTTTTAAAGCTATTTTTGTATGGGAGAAATGAAGCATTACACTTATTGTCTTTCTTTCCTTCTGTATTTTCATATGAGTGCAAATGATTCCTTCACAGAAAATATTGTAGTAATGAAAATAGAATTGTGCTATTTTGCTTGTTTTGTTAAATCATTTCTCTGTAAAAATGAAGCGTTGATGACATTTTTTCATTGCTTTTTTTCTTTCTACTCTATCAGATCAGTATGCATTCTGTCGATATATGATTGACATGTTTGTCCATGGGGATTTAAAACCAGGTATTCCAAGCAATTCTGTACATGTCTGTTTTAATAGTCTTTGTTTCTAAGATTGTTGGCTTTTTATGTACCTAACTGTATTTTCATTTTTTAAAAATTGCATAATGCATGTGTAGATCTAGAATAAAACCAATAAAAAGCGGTGGTAATAACTGGCATTAAGGCCTTAATTTTACTTTCAGTCATTGCATGGCCTATTGCAAATGAAGTCAGCTGAAATGTAAAATAAGTGCTAATATCTTTATATATAAAGAATGCTAATATCTTTAATAATGTCTTGAAGCAGTGAATCATCTTATTTTATTCTTAGTAAACTTAGAAGAAAAGACCCATGACAATGGAAATATCCTTCTTTTCTTAGTAGTGAACACAATTCATATTAAAATCATGACATTGCAAATATTTATACTTTGTTTTCCAAAACTTTTAAATTTTCTCTCTTATACATGAACTTGGTTTAGCCACTCCAAAGAACTACTGTTGGAAATAAATAACCTTGAAATTAATGTTCAACACAATGGGGAAGGATTTTGAGTTAAAGGAATATATCTACCTTGTCTTGTATCTTTAAATGTTGCCCAGAGTATAAAAGGTATTTTTTTTACTAACATCTGAACTAAGAATAAGTAACTTGATTGCTTGTACTATGCCTTTTGCAGATTTAAAAACTGACAGAAATATGTGCATGTTTGATAAAACGTTTCCAAAAAGACAGTGTTGTTAAGGAAGGAGCTCATTTATGTTAGAATAATTGAAGCTGATTGCTTAAAGCCAGCTATATTTTTATTTTCTTAACTATTTTGTGAAAGTCTTTCTAAAATATATAATTATATATAATCATAATTTATTCATATGTTGTCAAAGAGGCATATAATATCTAAAACAATAGGTAACACATCTAGGCTCTAGAAAACTAGACGAGAATCTTTGTTCTCCAGAAAATGTCATTAATCCCAGTAATTTATTCTAGTGAAATAATTTCCTCCTCCTCCTCTTTTCCTTCTTCCACATTTTCAGTAGGAAATTTAAATGAGGGGGGAAATCCCTAAAATTATAACGTAACAGGTGAAAATAATTACTATTGATACTTGCAGATAGTAACATAGCAGAATTATAAATAAACCTTCAGGAAGGTAGTGTGATACAGTGGAAAGACAAGGCTTTGGACAGAAATACAGTGATAATTCTTAAGTCCATCCTTTTCTAGTATTAGGCTTTGAGCAAATAATTGAATTCCACCTCATCTTTAGTGTCCTTACATTCAAAATGAAGATCATAGTCAAAACCTCGTATTGTTGATAAACCATCTAGTGACTACACAGCAAAATGTTATAACTTTAATTGGTTCATTTTACCACTGCCTGCCTGGTGAGCTCCCTACATGAAGAGAATCTCTCAACACTTACAAGTTTCAATCTATTTATATCAAAAATTCAATGTTAGGGCTGGGTGTGGTAGCTTTTATCTGTCATCCCAGTACTTCGGGAAGCTGAAGCAGGAGGATCACCTCAGACCAGGAGTTTGAGACCAGCCTGGGCAACATAGAGAGACCCCCTCACTCCGCCATCTCTACAAAAAA